GCATGTTACCTAGGCCAGCTACTGCGCATGTGTTGTAAACAGCTTGCACAAAAGCAACAGCTAAGTCAGAATGCTTGGAGACATTTTTCTCACTGCGAACTGGATCACTCCTCCAGAATTTTCTGGAGCCTGAGGTGCCAAGCAACACGAAGTTTGGAAACCATCTTCAAGGTCACCTGAGGCCCCATGAGGCCCCTGGCACAACTTGCTGCCAAAGTCCTTGCAACCTTCTGAAGGTCCTCTCCTCTGAAGCACCATGTAAGTCTCGGGTTGATGACATGGGCAAGCTGGCAGACATGCAGCAACATGTGCATTTTTGGAAGGTCAGGGAAGAGGCCCAACTCCTCATCTCGAAAATGCTTTCCCAAATCCAAATGGATTTGGCAGAGTGCAAAGCAGTACCTTGTGAAAGCTGCAGCTTCTTCTGGAGGGAAAGCCAAGAAAGCTTGAAATTGTTTCATCATCTTCTCCATGGCCACATTGATTTTCAAAAGGGTTCGGATCTTGGCATGGACCTCGATTGCAGGGTTCATGTGGGCCTCCCAGAGTGCAAGCAAAGGCTCCCCCAGGGCTGCAATCTGTTTTGCTCGACCTTTCAATTTGGGAGCCTGCTTTTTTCGCTGGAATAATGTCAGTTTTTTCATTCCACGATACCTTTCAGTGATGCCCAAGCTCTTGTAGGATGCCAGAATATGTTGCCAGCAAGTCTGTAAATTGTCTTTGGGGCTGTTGGGCAGCATGTGAACTGTTAAGAGCTCCATGATGCTTCCAAATGCTATCTGGTCCACTCCCAGATACTTGCAATGCATATAATCGAAATGGCAAGACAGTGCTGTCAGTCCATCCTGGAAGATGGAGCACTGTGGTCTGTCTGCCCACTCGAGCCACCTGACATGGTCATGTTCTTCCTTATAAAAAAAGTCATGAAAAAGAAACATAACATTTCAACAACTCAATACATATTATCAACAAAAACATGATCAAAATGGCAAGGAGCTCAGAGGCAGTCCATTGCATGGTGACCCATTTTGCAGATGGGCGACAGTCTTTCCAGCTATCCTCACTGTTGTCGCCTGTGCATCGACACCAAGCACAGGGGCCTTTCTTCAGACTGTAGTGGGGCAAGTGCAACCTCTGAACCATGTACTCCATGTCCCCAATCATAGTCCACAAGAGACCTTTCCATCCACCAGCCAGGAGTTGGCCTGCCCTTCGATGTTCTGGCGAACCTTTTCTGTACCTT